GATTACAGGCGTGAGCCCCTGCACCTGGCCATGAACTTTTTTTTTTTGAGAGCGAGTCTTTCTCTGTCACCCAGGCTGGAGTGCAGTGGTACAGTCTTGGGTCACTGCAACCTCCGCCTCCCGGGATCAAGCAGTCCTTAGTCGCCCAAGTAACTGGGATTATAGGCATGCGCCACCATGCCTGGCTAATTTTGTATTTTTAGTAGAGATGGGGTTTCACCATGTTGACCAGGTTGAGTCTTAGACTCTTGACCCCAGGTGATCTGCCCACCTTGGCTTCCCAAAGTGCTGGGATTACAGGAGTGAGCCACTGCACACAGCCGGGAACTTCTAAACAGAGGAGTGACTCCCTTGAGTCGGACATGAGCCTCAGAGGTGAGGCAGCAGGTAGTGTCTTTGGTTTAAAATGTAAATGAAGATACTCCAGGTGTGGTGGCTCATGCCTGTAATCTCAGCATTTGGAGAGGCTGAGGCAAAAGAATCGCTTGAGGCCAGGAGTTCGAGACTAGCCCGGTAACATAGCAAAACTACATCTCTACAAAAAAAGAAACTAGGCATGAGCCACTGTGCCTGGCTAATTTTTATAATCCCAGCTAATTGGGAGGCCAAGACAGGAGGATCGCCTGAGGCCAGAAGCTCAAGACAAGCCTGGGCAACATAGTGAGACCCCCATAGCTACAAAAACAGTTTTAAAAACTAGCTGGACATGGTGGCATGCACCTGTAGTCCCAGCTACTTGGGAGGCTGAGGTGGGAGGATCGCTGGAGCAAGGGAGTTTGAGGCCGCAGTGAGCCATGATTGCACCCCCATTCTCCAGCCTGCATGACGGAGTGAGACCCTGTCCCCAAAACAAAAACAAAGTGGTAATACAGGCATCAGGAGACAGCAGGGAGTCTGACTCTGAGGCCAGGATGGCTTGTGTGGACTCTAGTATTCTTCTGTTGGACATCTTAAAGATCCATAGGTCCATGTGAGGATAAGTCACTGCAGAAAATGCTGCTAGCTCTAAGATAATTCCTTTAACAATAAAGACCTCGTGGTGGCTCACGCCTGTGATCCTAGCACTTTGGAATGTCAAGGTGGGTGGATCACCTGAGGCCAGGAGTTCGAGACCAGCCTAACCAACACCGTGAAACCCTGTCTCTACTAAAAATACAAAAAATTAGCCAGGCATGGTGGCGGGTGCCTGTAATCCCAGCTACTTGGGAGGCTGAGGCAGGAGAATCGCCTGAACCCAGGAGGCTGAGGTTGCAGTGAGCTGAGATTGCACCACTGCACTCCAGCCTGGCGACAGAGTGAGGCTCCATCTCAACAACAACAAAAAGGACCTCATGCTTTGAGAAAATCCAGTTGGTATACGGAATGAAAGGGAGCATAGGTCAGGAGAACATAGGAAGTGTGGATAGTGAAGGCCTCGTGTAACCTGGGTCTCAAGGGAGGGACCGGGCACTTGGTTTTACTACTTTCTGGGACAGAGTTTCCCTCCAGCGGTGTGATCATGGCTCACTACAGCTTCAACCTGCCAGGCTCAAACAATCTTCCCACCTCAGCTTCCTGAGCAGCTCCGATTACAGGCAATTAGACTTGAAACCACAAAATGAATCCTCCCTTCAAGCTTTTCCTCAATACTTTTGTGATACAATACTCCAAGATTAACAAATTTATGGCCAGGCATGGTGGCTCACGCCTGTAATCCCTGCATTTTGGGAGGCCGAAGCCAGCAGATCACCTGAGGTCAGGAGTTCAAGACCAGCCTGGCCAACATGGTAAAACCCTGTCTCCACTAAAAATACAAAAATTAACTGGGCATGGTGGCCGACACCTGTAATCCCAGCTACTCTGGAAGCTGAGGCAGGAGAATGACTTGAACCTGGGAGGCAGAAGTTGCAGTGAGCCAAGATCACGCCAGTACACTCCAGCCTGGGCAACTGAGTGAGACTCCGTCTAAAAAAAAAAAAAAGTTTGTGTTATTTTTTTCTAGAAGTTTGGCAAGTTTTTACCCAGCCAGATAGCCAACAGAAACACCAAGACCAACGTTTGAGCCATACGTTCCTAGACAAGAAAGACTGGACCCGAAATGAGCTTCATGAATGTAATGAACTAGGAAAAAAACTCCATCAGAGCCCAAACCTCGTTCCATCAAAACAGCAGGTCCACACAGGTGACTTGTGTGGAAAGAGTCTGATGTGTAACCTGGACTTCACTCGTAACCTGGCAAGGAGGAGATTTGAGTGCAACGATGGTGGAAACTTGTTCCTCTATTCGAAACTTGAAACTCCACCTTTCGGAGCGAATGCACGCGGACGTCACCAGTGTGGAAGTGCTTTAAGCTGTGACAAGGGATTTCCTGCAGCTCAAGGAGCCAGTAGTGAGAAACCCCACGCATGCACCAAGTGTGGGAAAGCCTTCTCCTGCAGATCGGCCCTCATGGTGCATCACGGGGTCCACACGGGGGAGAAATCCTTTGCGTGCAGTGAACGGGGGCGTGGTTCCAGGGAGAAAGTTTGCCCCGACAAACAGGGAACTCAAACAAAGGAGAAACCCGGTAGAGACGGCAGAAGGGGTAAAACGATCTTCCAGAAGACCCGCCTCTGTGTCCCGGGGACAGTTCACGCGGGAGGAAAGCCTTACAGGTGTTCCGAGTGCGAGAAAACCTCCCACAAGTCGCGCCTCATCAAGCACCGTAGCTCCCACACTGGGGTGAAGCCCTACGGCTGCAGGGAATGTGGGCGGTCCTTCTCCCGGAAATCGTGTCTCCTCATCCACGCCAGAATCCACGCGGGGGAGGAGCCCTACGGCTGCAGGGAATGCGGGCCGTCCTTCTCCCGGAAATCGTGTCTCCTCATCCACGCCAGAATCCACGCGGGGGAGAAGCCCTACGGCTGCAGGGAATGCGGGCGGCCCTTCTCCCGGAAATCGTGTCTCCTCATCCACGCCAGAATCCACGCGGGGGAGAAGCCCTACGGCGGCAGGGAATGCGGGCGGTCCTTCTCCCGGAAATCGTGTCTCCTCATCCACGCCAGAATCCACACGGGGGAGAAGCGGTACGGCTGCGGCGACTGCGGAAAGGCCTTTTTCCAGAAGTCCTACCTCATCTTGCATCGGAGGACTCACACCAGGGGAAGCCCCATGGCTGCGCCGAGTGCGGGAACGCCTCCTCCTAGAACTCCTGCCTCCTGCCGCACAGGCGGACCCACATGGGGAGGAAACCGTACCAGTGCTCCAGCTGCGGGAAGACCTTCTCCCAGAACTCCTGCCTCCTGCTGCGCAGGCGGACCCACATGGGGAGGAAACTACCAGTGCTCCGACTGCGGGAAGACCTTCTCCCAGAAGGCGAACCTTATCCGCCATCACTGGATCCACACGAGGGAGAAGCTGCACGGGTGAAGAGGCCGCGGGGTCATCACAGAGTCACAGCACGAGGTTGCCGAGCCTCTAGGAAGGACATCCCCAGGGAGACAGCCCTCAATCGAAACCCGACGCCCTCCTAGGCAGAGGTCCCATATCGGGATGACATTCTACCACTTTGGAGGCTTAAGAAAAGCATGGTCAACCTGGCGTGGTGGCTCATGCCTGTAATCCCACCACTTTGGGACACTGAGGCGGGTGGATCACCTGAGGTCAGGAGTTCAAGACCAGCCTGGCCAATATGGTGAAAGCTCAGCTCTACTAAAAGTACAAAAAATTAGCCGGGCAGTGTGGCAGGCGCCTGTAATCCCAGCTACTCTGGAGGCTGAGGCAGGAGAATCGCTTGAACCCTGGAGGTGGAGGTTACAGTGAGCCGAGTTGGCGCCACTGCACTCCAGCCTGGCGACAGAGCAAGACTCTGTCTCAAAAAAAAAAAAAAAAATACAATGGACTTTGGGGACTCGGAGGCAAGGTTGGGATGGGAGTGGATAAAAGACTACACATTGGGTACAGTGTAGGCTGCTTGGATGACAGGTGCACCAAAATCTCGGAAATCACCACTGAAGTTGCACCACTGCACTCCAGTCCGGGCGACAGAGCGAGACTCTGTCTCAAAAAACAAACAAACAAAACAAAACAAAAAAAACAAAAGACAAAATTAGACGTGGTGGCACGCACCTATAATCCCAGCTATTCGGGAGGCTGAGGTAGGAGAATCACTTGAACCTGGGAGGTGGAGCTTGCAGTGAGCCAAGATCATGCAAATGCACTCCAGCCTGCGCAGAAAGAGAGAAACTAAAAAAAAAAAAAAACTGTCAAAGAAGAACCACAGATTCACCGCTGAATTCTACCAGATATTTAAAGAAGCACCAATGCAAATTCTTCTCAGACTCTTCCAGAAAATTAAAGGGGAAGGGATTCCTCCAAAGTCTTTCTACAAGGCCAGCATTACCCTAATATGAAAACCAGACAAGAACACAACACAGAAAGAAAACTACAGACCAGTATCCCTGATGAACATAGATGCAAAGATCCTTAACAAAATGCTAGCAAACCAAATCCAGCAGCACATTAAAAAGATCCTTCACCATGATCAAGTGGGATTTATCCCAGAGATACAAGGATGGTTCAACATTTGCAAATCAATAAATGTGATGCATCCCATCAACTGAACAAAGGACAAAAACCATGTAATCATCTCAAGAGATGAGGAGAAAGCATTTAAGGAAATTCAACATTGCTTTATGACAAAACTCTGAAAAAAGTAGGCATTGAAGGAATGTATGTCAACTCAATAAAGGCCACATGTAACAAATCCACAGCTAACATCACACTAAATAGGGAAAAGCTTAAAGTTTCTTCTCTTGGAACTGGGACAACATATAAATGCCCACCCTCACCACTCTTATTCAATAGTACTAGACGGAGGTCCGTAGTCCTAGACGGAGCAGTTAGTCAAGAGAAAGAAATAAAGGGAATTCAAACTAGAGAAGAGCCGTCAAATCATCCCTGTTTTAAGACAACATGGTCTTATATATAGAAAATCCTAAAAGCTCCACTAAAAAACTTTTTTTTTTTTTTTGAGATGGAGTCTCCCTCTGTCACCCAGGCTGGAGTGCAATGGCACAGTCTCAGCTCACTGCAACCTGTGACTCCTGGGTTCAAGTGATTCTCCTGCCTCAGCCTCCTGAGTAGCTGGGATTACAAGCACATGCCACCATGCCCAGCTAATTATTGTATTTTTAGTAGAGATGAGGTTTTACCATGTTGGCAAGTATGGTCTCGAACTGCTGACTTTGTGATGTGTCCACCTCGGCCTCCCAAAGTGCTGGGATTACAGGTGTGAGCCATCATGCCTGACTCTAAAAAACTTTTAGAACTGATACATTTAGTAAAGTTGCAGGATATAAAAATCAACAGACAAAAATCAACAGTACTTCTGTATATTGACAGTGAACTAGCTGAAAAATAAATGGAGAAAGCAATCCCATTTACAGTAGCTATAAAAAAATACCTATTAGTAAACTTAACCAAGGAGGAGAAGGTCTCTGTAAGGGAAACTAAAACCCTGGTGAAATAAATTGAAGAGGACACACAGAAAAACGGAAAGATACCTTATGCTGATGGATTGCAAGAATTCATACTGTGAAAATGATCAGACTACCAAAAGCAATCTACAGATTCAATGCAATCCCTATCAAAATACCAATTCTTCACAGAAATAGCAAAAACAATCCTACAATTCATATAGAACCACAAAAAAACCCAAACAGCCAAAGCAGTCCTGAGCAAGAACAAAGCTGAAGGCATCACACTAAATGACTTCAAAATATATTACAAAGCTACAGGAATTAAAGCCTCATGGCACTGGCATAAAAACAGATACAAAGACCAATGAAACAGAACAGAGAACCCAGAAATAAATCCGTACATCTACAGTGAAGTCTTTTTTTTTGAGATGGGATCTCACTCTGTTACCCAGGCTGGAGTGCGGTGGTACAGTCTCAGCTCTCTGTAGCCTTGACCTCCTCAGGCTCAGGTGATTCTCCCACCTCAGCCTCCCAAGTAGCTAGGACCACAGGCATGTACCATCACACCAAGCTATTTGTGTGTGTGTGTTTGTGTGTGTGTGCGCGTGCACACGTGTGTGTGTATTTTTTTGTAGAAACAGAGTTTCACCATGGTGCCCAGCCTGGTCTCAAACTCCTGTCTCCAGCAGTCCACCTACTTCACCATTCCAAAGTGATAAGATTATAGGCGTGAGCCACTGTGCCTGGCCAGTGGATGCATTTTTGACAAAGGCTCCAAGAACATTCATTGGGGAAAGGACAGTCTCTTCAATAAATGGTAGGAAAACTGGGTATCCATAAACAGATGGATGAAACTTGATCCCTATTTCTCATCATATACAAAAATAAACTCAAAATGAATTTAAGTCTTAAATGTAAGACCCAAAGCTATGACATTACTAGAAGAAAACACAGAAAACACTTCAGGACATTGGTCTTGGCAAAAATTGTATTAATAAGACCTTGGCCAGGTGTGATGGCTCACATCTGTAATCCCAGCACTCTGGGAGGCTGAAGTGGTCAGATCACTTGAGGTTAGGAGTTCGAGACCAGCCTGGCCACATGGTGAAACCTGTCTCTACTAAAAATCTAAAAATTAGCCAGATGTGGTGGCGCATGCCTGTAGTCCCAGCCACTTGGGAGGCGGAGGCAGGAGAATGGCTCAAACCTGAGAGGTAGAGGTTGCAGTGAGCTGAGATTGCACCCCTACACTCCAGCCTGGGCGACAGAGCGAGACCCCACAGGTTCTTTGGGTAGTCTCTGAATGTCATACAACTCTTACATATTTTATTAAAAAATTGTTTTGACACAAAGTCATGCTGGGTTGCCCAGACTGGAGTGCGGTGATAAGATCATAGCTCACTGCAGCTTCTAACTCTGGGGCTCAAGCAATCCTCCTGCCACCTCAGTCTCCCAAGTTGTTGGAACACAGGTGCCAGCCACCACACCTGGCTAATTTAGTTTGGTTTTGTTTTTTTAGAGATGGGGTCTTGCTATGTTGCCTACGCTGGTCTTGAACTGCTGGCCTCAGGCAATCTTCCTCCCTTGGCCACCCAAAGAGATGGAATTACAAGCACGAGCCACTGTGCACAGCTGAGATTTTTCAACTTAGTCTTTTTGTACATGTGATATTTTATTCATAGAATCCATAAATGGTAGGGAAATTTCTGAGTTCAGAGCAATACATATAATATAAAACGTGATATATAGACTAGAGTTTCTTAGCCATACTGGAGGGGCTGGCTTTAGGTAATCCACGGACTCCCTGAAATTGGGGACACCAGTGGAAATATGTATGAGCTCATGGGCAGATTCCTGTGATTTTCAGACTTCAAAATGTCTCTTGGACTCAAAGATGCCTTAGGGCAGAGGACGTGTGTATCCCCAGTATAGAATCTCGGACAGTGAATGTCAGTGAACATTCAGCAGAAAAGCTCTGCCAAATTCAGTGCTCTGATGTGACTTTTTCATCAAGTCAAGGTTCCTGGGATCTCTTGTACATGATCATCTCACTCTTGTAAGGTTTCATCGTTTCTGCTTACCCTAGTTTTCTTTCCCACCCTGTTCCCTCTCCCACCAGACTGGACTCTGAAATGGGCATGTACAGAGAAGAGGAGACCCCACCATGCCTCAGGCTTTGAGTGGAGAGGACACAGCCTCTGCTGGGACAGGGAACAGAGGGATGCGGAGACACTGAAGATGCTTGTGGACAGTGGTCTGAGGGCGGGACAGTGGCAGGAGATACCATTCACTCAGCATCTCCAGGACAAGAGATCAGCCTGGCAGTTACATGTGTTTTTCTTCAAACTAGTTGCCAGGTTGGAATGGCCAATGACATCAGAGATTCCAACCTTCCTGACTGGAAGGACCGGACTCCGTGGGTGCCTGGGAGCTGAAGTGGACAACAGTATCTTCTCAGAGCTGTTTGCCACTCCTGACTTCTCCCAGCCTCGAGAATTTGTAACACACTCTTCTAGCTCCTAGCAGAGTCCAGAAAAAGGCCTTGGGCAGAACAGAGACTCTTTCCATGGAATGGGACAGATTTTGGGAAAAATCATGACCATCCTGCTCGCCGAGCATAAGGAGGAGAGCCCCCAGGTGAGCACCTCAGGGTACCCCCTCTGGGAGGTGGGGGATGATGAAGTGTCGGGACCATCAGGTGAGGTGACTGGAGGAAGAAGAGGTGGGATAGGATTGACTAAGACAAAGGAAGGGGGCCAGGCATGGTAGCTCACACCTGTAACCCCAACACTTTGGGAGGCCGAGGCAGGCAGATCACCTGAGGTCAGGAGTTCAAGACCAGCCTGGCCAACATGGTGAAACCCCATCTCTACTAAAAGTACAAAAATTAGCTGGGCGGTAGTGATGCGCGCCTGTAATCCCAGCTACTCGGGAGGCTGAGACAGGAGAATCGCTTGAGTCTGGGAGGAAGAGGTTGCAGTGAGCTGAGATCGCTCTATTGCACTCCAGTCTGGAGAAATTCAGGCTGGGTTCTGTGGCTCACACCTGTAATCCCAGCACTTTGGGAGGCCAAGGCAGGAGGATCACTTGAGGCCAGGAGTTTGAGACCAGCCTGGCCAACAAGGTGAAACCCTGTCTCTACTGAAAGTACAAAATTGAGCTGGGCATTATTGCAGGCACCTGTAATCCCAGCTACCAGAGAGGCTGAGGCAGGAGAATAACTGGAATCCAGGAGACAGATGTCGCAGTGAGCTGAGATTGCACCACTACACTCCAGCCTGGGAGACAAAGCAAGATTCTGTCTCAAAACAAACAAACAAACCAACAAAAAACGGAGGGACTCAGAGAGCCAGGGACCAGGGAAGGACGTGAGGAAATGTTCTGAGGACAGAGAAACGGAAGAATGGGGAGGGGAAGGAGCAGCACGTGGGGTTGACAGAGGACAAAGTCAGAAAGATGGCTTGGAGAAGCCGGCAGTCTACAAGGCTGGGGAGGATGGAGAGTGGTTTGGGGTTTGGGGTCGGGGTCTAAGGTGATCAGTTGCAGAAGCATTACACGGTGGTCTGGTTTCTTTACTCAGCCCCTGGGGTAGATTCCAGACCCTCATGTAGGTCCCTTTGCTGGAAAAGGAAGAGGGAGTGGTCGGACCAATCTGAGGAGGAGCCAGAGAAGGAGGTCGCCCCTGAGCCCGAGGAGACCTGGGTGGTGGAGATGCTGTGTGGCCTCAAGATGAAGCTGAAGCGACGGCGAGTGTCGTCCGTGCTCCCTGAGCACCAGGAGGCCTTCAATAGCCAGCTTGGTAGGAGGACACCCCAGAGAGCACCTCCAATCCTGTTCTTCTAAAAAAGAGGAAATTTCCAATAACCACTCTTTTCCAATGGGAAAAATATGCCCCCAGTGGGTGAGCTCTGCATCTGGGAGAACTCAGAAGTGATCACTCATGAGGGACGCTTAGGAGACGATAGAGGATTAGGCTAGACTTGATAAAGGTCGGTGCTTGGGATATGAAAGCTTGGTTTTGGGCCAGGTGCGGTGGCTCATGCCTGAGATCCCAGCACACTGGGAGGCTGAGGCAAGCGGATTGCTTAAACTCAGGACTTTGAGGATGTAATGAGCTATGACTGCACCACTGCACTCCAGCCTGGGTGACAGAGCAAAACCCTGTCTCAAAAGAAAAACAAAGCCCAGGTGTGGTAGCTCATGCCTGTAATCCCGTAATCCAGTAAACTTTGGGAGGGCCGAGACAGGTGGATCACCTTTGAGGTTAAGTTGGTTCCGAAGACCCAACCAGACCAATAATAGCGAAACCTCATTTATAACTAACAATACAAAAATTAGCCAGGCGTGTGGTGGCACGACGCCTGGTAATCCCAGCTACCCGGGAGCTGAGACAGGAGAATCCGCTTGAAACCTGGGAGGCGGAGGTGCCGTGAGCGAGATCAACCAACTCGCCACTCCCAGCCCTGGGCAAACAGAGCCTAAGAACTCCGTCCTAAAAAGGAAAAATAAAAAATAAAACATAAATAAAAGGAAGAGTTGGGGAGCTACAGAAGGGGAGACCAGAGTTCATATTTCACCCTGGCTGTGTCATCCTTGTTTGGATCTGGACTTCGTTTCATCGTCCATGGAATTTGGGAAGGGGGTCGTATACTGGAATAAATGTTCCTGCGGATAGCTGCATTCAGCTTGCAACACCCCCAACTAGGCGCAATGGATCACCTTCGTCCAGCGACAATTTGATTCCACGCTGCCCTGCCCTTGCGGGTCAGAGTAAACGACTAACCAGGAATCCACAAGAAAAAAGTCGCCCCCATGGAATACAAACAGGGGGAGGGCGGCTGGCAGCAACCTGGCTTCCTTATTGCACTGCAGATATCAGCTGGCCCACGTGAAGG